CGACGCTCTAGACAAGCGCAGTGAGTGCTGCGAGGACAGATTTTCAGTATAAGTGATTTGAAAGGAATTTGAGTTAGTAATGACAAGATTGATTGGTATCGTAGAGATGAAAGTAGTGACGACGAGGACAGCCCTCCACGAGGAACTCGTGACTCAGGTTCTAGCGGGACAGGGAAGGAAGGGATGGAGACAGAACCTGAGATTGGACGGGTTGTATGCGTGGAGCTTGGAGACAAGAAGAAAAAGGATAACTGGTTCCCTGGGTTAGTGGTTGCACCGACTGCTCAAGACACAGTAAGAATTCGAGTGAGAGACGACTATCTTGTGCGATCATTCAAGGATGCACGATAGTAAGTTTCGGTAGTATCTATATTTAAATGAATTTTCTGGAATTCAATGTATTTTTATATTGTTTGGATACACTTGAATGTTCCTTTGTATTACTATGGTAGTTTCAGTTGAATGAGTACGAATGAACAAACAGATAGCCTTTAAGATACATATATATGTAATTATAGATTAATATTTATTTATTTTCCGTTATTATTACATATTTCGTTGCATTCTCAGTTATACAGTTCCAAAGAAAGAGGCCACAGAGTTCACTAAGGAAGTTGTCAACAAAGTTGAGAATAGCACGCTGAAGGTTGCAGTAGAAAAGGCATTGCTATTTTTAGAGAAGAATGAGTTGCCTCCCCATTGGGATAGGGATTCTCTTTTTGGGAATTCTGTGTCAAGTGGAAATAGTGACACCGATGGAGAGCTTGACTCGGATGTAAGATATTTTTTGTTCTACTTTCCTTTTGACAATTATTTCGAAAGATTCGATTCGTTGTCTACAAGTATATCTAATTTTTCAGAGTTCGGACGACGAACCGCGTGAAGAGAAAGATCATTTCGTGGCACAATTGTATAAATTTATGGATGACCGTGGAACACCTATTAATAATTGCCCGATGATTGGATCCGAAGACATAGATTTGTATAGGTTGTTTCGAGCTGTTTACAAATTGGGCGGTTATAATCGTGTCACGAATCAAAATCAATGGAAACTGATAACACGCCGTTTGAGCTTCACGATGCAGAATTCCCCGTCCACGCACAATTTGGTGAAACAGGCCTACAAAAAGTTCTTACATTCGTTCGAGGATTTTTATAGAAAACTAGGTTGTACTATGGTAAATCATCCAAGAGGTGCTATACGTAAACAACGTCCCGGTAGAAGTCTGATTAGGGATAAAGACAGAAATACACCTGTGCCGCCGCAAGTAACTGTTGCTAAGAACGAGAAAGAGGAGGAGGATAAGAAAGTGATGGAGGAGGAGAAAAAGGAGAAGAAAGAAGTAAAGAAAGAGCTGGTGAAGGAGGAAGAAGTTGTGAAAATAAAGAAGAAGGAGGAGTTGGAGGATAGCGGTAGCGGGCAGGAGAGTGACGTGAACGTGGAAGCCGAGGCGGAATCGTCTAGCAGCGAGAAGTCTCAAAAGATCTCTACGTCGTTAGCGTTACAGAACAGAGGTAAGTCTAAAAGTAAAGAGGATCCAAAGAAAAAGGTAGTAGAGAAGAAGAAAAACGAGGCTAAAAAGCAAGAGAAAAAGGACGATAAAGCGAAAGAGGAGGAGGCCGCTAAAACGAGATCGAAATCTAAAGATGACACTGTAAAAAGTAAAACGTCTTCTGAAATTAGGGAAACACGAACACCGTCCAGAGAGTCTGAGAGAAAAACATTGAGCAAACAGAGGCGTCTAACGGACGAGGAATTGAAGAGACGAGGGAGAAAGCGTAAAGAATACGAGGCGGAAAAGTCACGATCCGACGAACAGTTGACAGAGTCCGCACCCTGCTACAAGGGTCCTGTGGAACTAGGGGACAGATTAAAAGTGTATTATGGTCCGACTCACGAGTCTAAAGTCACGTACGAAGCGAAGGTTATCGATATGGAGAAAGATGGCACAGAACCGATGTATCTTGTACATTACACTGGCTGGAACACGAGATACGACGAATGGATCAAAGCGTCGCGAATAGCACAGAATTTTACACAATCTCAAGGTAGGGTGAAACGCGTGAAAGCGAATTCACGGCCGCAAACGCCGAGCACGAATTTATCGAGTAACGCGAACAAATCGTCGAAGATTGTGTCTAACACAGTTTCCAATGCATCTCAGAGCCGTCGTCGAGCACAAAGTGTAGCCCCCACGACGATGGTGGTCTCGTCGAGCATGTTGAAAGAAGTGAAGAAGGAAGAGAAGGAAAGGGAAAGGGAAAGGGAAAAGGAAAGGGAAAAGGAAAAGGAAAAGGAAAAGGAAAAGGAAAAGGAAAAGGACAAGGACAAGGAGGCGGCAGCGTCGCAGCCGGCCAGGTCTACAACTCCGCTGTCTGTAACAAGCTCCAGCTCCAGAACTAAGAGTCCAGCGACCCCGGCGAATAATCGTCAAACCCGTACCACAAGGAACACCGATGCGCCCGGTGTCGAACACAGAAGACGAACGAGGAGGATGTCCGGGCATACAGACATATCGGTCGCGTCAGAAACCGAGGACAGCGAAGCGTATGATTCTGACGCTACAGAACCTGAACAACCAAGAACCAAATCGAAAGGCGTGGAAGAAAGAAAACGTAGAGAGGCGAAATGTCGAGCAGAGGACAGAATAAAACCCGAGGAGACCAGTGACGGTGAAGAGGATAAAGATAATTTGGAAGAACCCCGTAGAGGTAGACGTTTGAGAAGAACGATCGGTAAATCGCAGAGTATCAAATACGAGCCTGACAGCGACGACGAACAACCAAAGGGTCGTGATTTCGATCTTAATCAGATACGATCGGAATTGAAGGGCTTCGACAAGGCGGTGAAATTGGAGCTTGTCAGAGTCGAGCCGGATCCGGAGGACGATATTAAGATTGACGAGAAGGAGAATGTTGTTTTACTTTCACCGAAATCGGAGAAAGGGTTGGAGCCCAAAGTGGAAACCACTCCCGAATCCAAGATAATAGAGAGCACGGAGGATATATACGAGTTCAAAGAACCGGAACCATTTGAATTTGAGGTACGCAATAAACGGGACACCAGCGGAGAGAAAGATAAAGTGAAGAAAAGGGTATTCGAGGAGGAGCCTAAAAGTCCGAAAAAGAAACAGAAAATTCTTGTATCGCCGGTTATAAAAGAGATTATTAAACCAGAAGTGGATGATTCGAGAAAGAAACCGAAAAAATTGTTCAGCAAAAGGATCGACGATATTACAGAAAGTAGTCCGCCGTCAGCCAATAAATCATTATCGTCCGGGTCGTCGAGCAGTGCCTGCGAAGAAGCATTCGATAAACTTTGCGAATCACCGTCGTTCAATAATCAAACGAAATCCGGTGGACCGATTGTCGAGGAAACAACCGACAAAATCGCTAACGGTATAGATTTGTTGTTCAGTGATTTACCTGGCGACGACGACGACGGTACACATGACGATTCCGAGGATCGATTGATAATATCAGAGGCGGAAGTTTCAGAAGCGGAACATGATAATCTGTTTACGTATCAACAAGAGATGTTCACTGTCGGCGATACGAACGATTCGTTGGAATCGAACAAAGAGGACACGACGAGTCCGCAGATAGAAACTGTAAGGGAGGAATTGCCACCGTCGATCTCGAATAAACCCGAGGTACCCGTAGACCAGAAGCAAACTGCTGTCAAGCTATCCCCGTTACACAGACAATCCCCGGAATTGATGAAAGCAGCACTCGATACAAAATTATTGGACATCACTGGACCTGTCTCGTCTCCAGTCGTCGTGGCACCAGCGCCGATTAGCGCGCGACTGCCAGCCACATCTACAATAGAGGAGAAGCTTTCAGCGGCAATGGCATTCAGAAATAAAACGAAGGGTATTAAAAAGGAAGATGAAATCCCGGAGGTTGTATGGAAACCATCGAAAGAGAATCCCAAGAAGGTAGATACCATAATTTTACAAAAGAATCATAAAGAGGATCAAAACGGGCCCAACGTGGTGGTGGTGGTGAACGCTGAGAGTAAAAAGCGGGAAGAAGAGGAGATTATTCAAGCGAACAACGAGGAACAGTGCAGAGAGATAATGCGCGTGGTGATCAAACAGAAAGAGGAGGAACTTGAGCAGTTGAAGCTGAAGAAAGAAATAGAACTGAAGAAATTCGCGGAGGCGAAAGCAGAGCACAAGAGAGCACAAGAATCTCTCGAAGAGGAATGGAAGCACATTGAGAATGAAGAATTCAAGAAAGCCGAGGATGAATTTATTAAGGAGCACGATTTCAAAGAGAAGGAGAAGGAAAAGTGCAAGAAGATAGTAAATCACGATGCAATAGATTCAGCGGATAGCAGTGATTCGGAGCAAAGGCTGGTAATCGACAACGAAGAACCCCGAGATATGAAAACACCAACGAACTTTGACGTAAAGTTAAGAGCAGAGTTGGATAAACTGCAAGACACGCAGGAAAGGAATGCAAAATTCCAGACGCAAAAGTCTGGCCCGTATCTGAAGCAGCATCATCATCATGCTCATCATTCTCATCATTCTCATTATTCTCATCATTCTCATCATTCTCATCATTCTCATCATCCTCATCATCCTCATCATCCTCATCATCCTCATCATCCTCATCATCCTCATCAGCAGCAACAGCAACAGCAACAAGAGTGCGTGACCGAATTGAAAACAGAAATTATACATGTCACAAAAGCGGACGAGGAGGGAGAGGCGATCAATTCTTTGTTGTGCGAAGAAGAAATACCCGGTTCGCCCGCGCCTGTTTCTGAAATTATCGAACAGATCAACGCCGGTCCATCCTGTTCGCCGCCGAAAGTCGAAACGTCGGAAAGCAGTATAGTACTGATGGAGATGCCATTCGCGAGCGCGCCTACTTCAGGCCAGAGTACGACCAATAGTACCGTGGTCACGTTGAGTATGGCGCTGCCGAAACCCGTCGAGGCGTCCGTTCCCGTTTCTTTACCGGTGCAGCAACAAAACAATCCCAGTCTAGGTGTACGGCAACAGCAATCCCATCATCAACTTTTGCCCGCGTTGATGCCTGCCCAGAGGCGGGAAAGCAACGAGGCAGCGCCTGTAATGGACAATACACCGCCCACCACACCGGACTCGAGCATTTCGAATATCTCTGGATCTCCTAGGGAGGAAAGAACAGGTGGCTCCTCGCCAACTTCGGAGGACAATATGAAGCTGAACCGTGACAGTTCCGAAGCGGAGAACGATAGCGCTGGTAAAGGTCCTGGGTTCAGCGAGGACGATACATTGCCGAATGCCGAAGGAAACTCGACGGATCGGATATTAAAACCGCCCGCGAAACGTTCTGTCGAGGAGACGCAATCACCTAAGAAGCGTAAGAGAAGTAGGAAACACTCGGAATGCGACAAGACCGCGTCGAAGAAAGCTAGCAGGCACAACAGCGGCAGGCATGGCAGTAAACACGGCGGTGGAAGCGACAGCGACGATACCAGCGAGAGTTCGAATCATTGCGGAGGGAATTCAACACCTGCGAATCACACGAGTATCACCGCCACCGTACCCGATCTTACGAATTACTCGTCGAGATCACCCAGGCCCACGAAATACAATTTCTATGTGGAATTAGGTAAAAGCAATTTCCCTATTCTAACATTCGAATCTATAACGAACCTCGCGCACGGATATAATCTCTTTTATTCGTTTGCTTTTCTTTTCCAGATCCTGAATTGGATGGAAGCCAAAGGATAGCTGTGTTACAGCAGAAATTAGCCGATTTACGTAAAACATACAATGCTGTGAAAGTTGAACTGGCCGCGATCGAGAGACGCAGAAAGAAATTGAGGAGAAGAGAACGGGAAGGTAAGTATTATCGTGCACCTTATTTATTTTGTTTCATTGCTTTCACGTTCTATGTATTTAACAAGTTATCATCGACTATCATACGAATATGACGTGACAATGTCATGGAACACGAAAGAAAGAGAAAAATTAATTTACTTTCAGCTATAAAGGCGGCGAAAGCGGAAATGCAACAGGCCTGTTCGTGATGAGCTGTCTCGAAACATCCCCATTTCATTTAATATGCGCTAAATAAACTTTTATACAACACCGCCGGGAGATAAAAAGTATCATTGAAGCGGACACACCATTTGGTCACAGCTGATTTCATGACAATTTTTACCTACCTAACATCATGTAGGTAACACTTTTCCCCCAACTAATATAAATTGTAGATATAGATTATAAGATTTAGTCTAAAGGAGGAACCATTTATCAGAATGAAAAAAATGTGTGTGTGTGTGTGTGTGTGTATGCGTGTGCGCGCGTGCGTGTGTGTGTGTGTGTGTGTATATATATATATATATATATATATATATATATATATATATACACACATATATTCGTATATGCTTTGTGTTGTACATTGTTTTCTTTTTTTTTTTTGTCAAGAAAACGTAACGTGACTGTTAAAAACAAAAGAAGGAAAGGAAATCTTTTATCCTCGATTTGTAATTTCTCACCTGCTCAGATGCAAAGTACAAATTATCGAACTTAATGATCATTTTCATCGTTCATTATTCTTTCTTAAGGAAAAGGCTGAGAAAAACGTTACCGGATAGTATATTATTACAAAGACATCTTGGGAACAAATCATTGTCTAAGCCGTTTGTCATTTTTATTTCTCGAGCATTATTATGTAGCTTGAGGCACACCGTTGGCGGTTGAGCTGTTTTCAGGACGATCCAATAAAGACATCATATGTATGTTTACACACGAGTGCGACAACCGTCGTGTACTTTTTAGGATAGAGAAATTTTGTACATATTAGGAAGTAGTAACGTTAATGTTCGTCGTTTTGCAATATATACGTGTGTACGTAAATAGAATCGTAGCGTCTTTATGATCGAAATATTATGTTTCTTTTTTTCTTTCTTTTCTATTTTTGTTAAATTTAAACAAAAACATTGCACATTGATGTGGTTTTTATAGTGACACGTGTATGTAATATATAGCACAATTTTTAACTTCCGAAAAAAAAAAGGAAATACCGGTTATTTTGGTTTATGTACATAATTTATACGAATAAAATCTCTCTATTACACTTGTTTGAAAAATATGAAACATTAAAGTTTATTGTAATTAAACGATCATGCTCGTACTCGAAGAACAACAAAATCCTTGACAAAGTGCATAAATAGAATTGAATTCATTGACTGTGCGCAGTTGTCATGAATGCAGCTCAACGGGATTCATAAGTTTACAGCCTTTTTATTGTGCTTTAATCATTAAATAGGTATTATTACACGTTCGTCGTCGTATATCGTAAATTGGTCAAAGATGCATTTATATTTGTATTTGGGCGTCGATGTATCCCAGGTATTCATAAAGAAATAACACTAATGAAAGAGAGAACACAAAAAAGTGGAGTTACACGTAAGGAACAAGTCGCAGAAAATACGAAAATCAAATTGTACCCTGAATGGAAGTAACTAAATTTGTACGAAGACGTGTTGGCTGAAAAGAGAATGAAATTTTATATAGATATACATATGT